ATCAGTCACGTTGCTCTGGTACCATGCGTTGCCTACGTCGTTGACGCCCATCCAAATACCGAATAAGGAGTTGGCCGATGTCCACGGGGCTGTCGAAGGATGAGGTGCAATGCTGTTAGAAAACTCCGTTACCTGGTCGACGAAACTAAGAACACCTGCCGCGTAAGGCGCTACAAGACCTGAGTCAGTCGTCGCACCTCCGTAGGCGAAGTTATAGTTGAGTAAAAGCGACGTGTTGAACTTCATTATGAGATTATCAATCCAGTTATTGCCGCCGCTAGTTGTGTACCCTGGGAATGCTGGATTTCCAAGTGGATTCGAAGCGCCCGGCAGAGGTCCAGTACTGATATTGAATCCAGTCTGCGAGTACGAGTCGCCGCTGGAATAAGGTCAGTACGGGGCTCCGAACTTGGTATTGGATTTACTGACAATGTTATGAAGTATTTTGTCGCAGAGTTGCTAGGTGCAGTAGACGTAGTTGACGGTAATGATGACGTTGATGAAGTGCTTGCCTTTGTGGTTGACGACGGCTTAGTCGTCGGCAATTTTGTCGTAGTTTTTGCAGAGGTGGTCGAGATGGTCACCGTTCCTGTCGCTGGCAGACACTGGTCTAATGTCACCCATAAATTTTTCAGTACAGACCAGGGACTTGTACATGCAGAATCACTTACAGTAATAAGCGTTCTGAGATGCGCACGTGGCTCCCATAGTGCACGCGGTTGAGCCAGTATAGCCCATGCCACCACATTGTCCATATAAGGACTGTTGCGCCGACACGGTAGCGCCTAGCAACGCAGCAAATGACAAGTACTTCATGATGATATTGTGTCTAATCCCGCCGTTGTGTATAAGAAGTCTCAAACGAGAGGCTCCTTTACGGTGAGAGCTGCCACATATATTTCAATTGATAATTGAAGCGCCAAAGTAAATGGAGCCGCTACTCCCGTGGCCGTGCAGACCTCCGTTCCAATGAAAAACCACATATTCACTGTAGCGGTAATGCTTGGTCATTGGTGGACTTTCGTGGGTTGATTTCCTGTTTTATGGTGCCCGCTGCGTGGAGATTATCGCTTAGTATTACGGGGATTGCTCGGAAGATCTCGACCGCAACCTTTCCGGCTATCGACATGATCGGGCAGTTCAGCCGGCGGCAGGGCAGCAAATAAGAAATGATACTATCATTACGGCGTACAAGAGCCTTGAGCTCAATGTATTACACATCTCCCAACCAGTCATGAGTTTCCGAGATTGTCTTATGCTGGGCATATATTCGCTATTGGTAATTAGTCTTCCATGTTACGTTATTATTAAGATGGTGGGAGCCTCCAATTCCACAATTTATTTTCACCAACAGTATTTCTTTCGACTCGAGTGTATATATGGCTATTCCACAAAGCCTCGTTCTCTTACCTGAATCGTATTAGGTGTTGGCCTGACAACATAATAAATCGTCTCTCATTGCACCGCATATTTCGAGTACTATTTGTTAATAGTTCATTAGTGGAAATATGGACCTTTATTTGGTTATAATTGGCATATTCGCTTGTCCCTGACTTTCTGTTAGTATATGACACCGACGAGCTCTAACTGCGCGAGGGGAACACAGCTGGAAAGTGGTGGGCCTGGGTGTTTACACTTGAACAATTAATGGCGATTATAATATATGTTTTGCGAACTGACTGGACTAAGCCCTGTAATTACTAGCTTTCTTAGATTTATTTGTTTTGTAATCTTCATCGTAAGAGAGGCTCATGAGTCGAATTGGTATCGCCTGTAACGTTGTCGTCAACTGAATTGCTGTACCGTTAGCTAGCCTTAGTTTCTTTGTGTTAGGTTGCTTGCTCAGTTGTTAGAGAAGCTCTTAGCCTATCACATGTAGTGAGGAAGCCACCCTACCACATACCTAGGTCTAGCTTGTAATTACTAATCTATTTCATTCCTAAGAACACTGACGGAAGTGGGTAATATCGTGGCTCTGCAAGTTCAGTGCTGCAATTGTAGGCGATATACAGAGATGAATTAGCAGTCTTAAGTAGACCCTACACAGGTTATGGCGCACCATGTTTATTATTTTTGTCCAATAACAACAAACAGGCGTCAGCAAGGGAGCTGACAACTCCACCTTCGCAATGGGAGGGTTGCAGACTTCGTCTGTCAGGTTAAAGTGGACTAACCCTAAAAGAGTCACACGTAAGCGCATGTGAGGATTGATGCAGACTAAACCTCAATTAGCAGCCTTTCAATCGTATACCGAGGACCATGGACGGGTATGATCCTGCTCAATTCCAGCCGCGTTGCATGCATCCATAACAGTACATAGCATTCATCCCTCAGAGTCTAAATCACTATAGAGCGGTTTCATTTTGAGGTGAGATTCTCTTAGTGGCGGTAAAATTCTTGCATTCACCTGGAAGTCCATTCCAACTAATGCCTCAACTATGCGAACGAGGTCTGTACTATTGCCGCTGCACTCTCGCAATGCGACTTCGGGTTTAGCATCACGGTGGCAGTGCTTTCTTAGAACGAAATACCAAAATCCTTACGCACCGCAATATTTCATGATAAGGACCCTCGGCAGTTCATGCTTAACATCAAGGAGAGACAGGAATCTTCCTGCTGATCGACACTTGCAAGCGTCGGTTTTTCCAGCTCTGTCACTATCAGGCATTCAGGATCGACTGCGTCTTCATCTTATAACAGCCGTTCCGGGCACCATCATTGTTCTTCTGAATATTCTTCTCCCACTAGCTTTGGTTGCAGGCATGATACTATATACGCTGGAACAGGAATATAAGATCGAAGCCCTCGATCGTCTTGGAATATGGCTTGTCATATCAGACATGACAGGGGAGCACAGGTCGCTAGGTACTGATCAACCACGGAAGCAAGACTCAACCGCACACCCCGCAATTGAAAAAGACGAGATAAGGCTTCTCGTTCTAGAACCCGGACGGTTAGCTGCCCCTTTGGAGTGCCAACTTGTCCGCTGCAAGGCCACCGACGATGTGTGGTATGAAGCGTTATCATATGTTTGGGGTACTACGCCTCAGCGCCACATGATCAAATGTAATGGCGAGATGGTTGGCATTACCGAAAACTTAGAGTCAGTTTTGAGACATCTTCGCCACCCATTTGGACGGCGAGTTCTGTGGGTTGACGCTATCTGCATCGACCAGAACGATGACGAGGAGCGTGGCCACCAAGTCCAGCTCATGAGCGGGATATTCTCTCAGGCAAAAAGAGTTGTTGTATGGCTCGGCGAAGATACCTTAGATGTCAGGGGTGCCTTCTCAGTCAGACCCAGCCGTGGCTATTTCCTTGGACCGGAAGGCATTGCTCTAAGGCAGTCCAAATGGGAACTTAAGCAGTCAAACTTCGACTGCACCATGGACAATGCTGCTGTTTCTCTCTCGGATGGGAATCTCTTGCCTCTAATACGACTTTTGGAAAGGCCATGGTTTCGGCGGCTTTGGGTACTCCAAGAGGCAGCGCTGGCGAAGGAGGTGATCCTACACTGTGGCAAGAAGAGGGCATCTTGGGATGAGTTTTCGAGTATACTGAATCAGTTGAAGCGTAAAGGGTTGGTCTTTGATAGGTTCACGCCAAAAGCTGCGATGGGGGTAGAAGCTGTCCTAGAAATCGAAGAAATTCGATCAGGGACCCAGCAAAATCTACTCTGTGTCCTATTGGGAACATGCTCGGCCGAATGCCTCGTCCTCAAAGACAAGGTGTATGGAGTTCTCAGCTTGGCAGGAGACTATATTCCTCCAAGTATGGCTTCGCTCGATGAAGCAAATCTGTCAGTCTTCGAACCTGACTATACTGTCAGTACTACCGAGGTCTTCGTAAGGTTCGCCAAGTGGGGGATTGAGGTTTATGGTGCCCCAGATGTACTCTCATGCACATCGAGAACAGAACTAGAACCAATGAGTGAGCTGCAAAGCCTGCCATCTTGGGTTCCTGACTGGACGAGGCTCGACAGTGACATGCCGTTTGCACGATATAGATTTTGTCACATATCTCAGCAGGAGCCTCTTTTCATTTCCGACCAAGAAGTTTTCGTCAACAGTCTGACTCTGGAAGTGCCGGCTTTGTATGTAGACAGCGTCGCGCAGGTTGGTTGCAAATCCCAATTCAAGAAGACTCCCTTCGGCAAGCTGTGGGAAGAAGGAGATGACGAGACGTCGAAAGTCATGCTTCAAATACATAAATGGACGGACGAAACAGCTAGAACTACGTATCATGCTCTCGCATGGATAAAAGACTGCGAGAGACTTGCCTTTTCTGCTTACACCGGGCATAGAAGTCTCAACGAGGCTCCAAACCAGCTCTGGGGGACCCTAACTGCCGGAATGAATGGTGAAGGACAGGCGATCTCTGAGGACTTTGGCCATTGCTTTCAGATGTATAGAGATTTCCTGGAGGCTTGTATTAGTGCTCATAAGCTTGGTGATTCTGATATCGTGGTGCCTCGGTCTCGGATCGATGTTGTTGGACAAGTCGAAGCTGCACTGCACATGTGGAGCTCTAAAAGACGATTCGCCATAACTAATAGAGGGCTAACGGCATTGGTTCCAAATCAAACGCAGGAAGGCGACATTGTTATAATTGTGGCCAATGCCAAGGTTCCGCATATCTTACGGCCAAAATGTGACGGAAGCTATACAGTACTTGGCGAGGCATATCTCGGAAATATTCAAGGCAGTGGACTATTAGGTATTGGATATCATAAGGGAAACTCAGAAACAGTACAGCGCTATCAAATAACATGATGCATGAGCAAACTCTTATGATGATTCTCTATTACAAATTTATATCTTACTATGTCGCATGTTATGTCAATTGGAACTTAAAAGGTGGCAACAGCTTGGCTGTCATGCTCCTTTCTAGACAGACTGCTAAAAAAAAATTTTTTTTATAAAAATTAAGGAAAGAAAAAAAGAGTTCAAAAGAAAAAATCAAGTTCGAAAGCCTATCTTTGACAGGCGCATCAGGAATTGAGCCCGATGCGGGGGTCGAACCCGCAACCTTGAGATTAAGAGTCTCACGCTATTTACTGTTAGTGGGTAATTCAATAATAGTGCATGGATCAGAATGTACTAACCTCTACCGATTGAGCTAACCGGGCGATATTTGCTTCGCGCTGGTATCATCCACTATACTACATCCAACTTGGACAGAACAATGGGCGACAAATCATAAGTCGTAATGACCTATGCGGGTCCATTCTTTCACCGCTATAGGTGCTGTGTTATTAAGGCGTGCATCAATCAACTATCAATTCTATAGACTTTCACAGCCTACCGACATATTCTACTCCCTTGCAGTCCAGGCCGCTTACACGATTACTGTATATGATATTCGTAACTACTCTTCTTAGTATTTGCACGAGACGAAATGACCTATATCGACTCACTAAGCCATACAAGGCAACAGATGGCATGGCGGTAGGACGCCAGAACAATACACATAAATAAGCGAGGAAGGTGCTTACTACCTAAGACTAATACAATGTTGGTCAATCTAAAAGTATGGCATACAGCCATACCGGCGCTTTCACTGTACTTTGAGGCTGCGAGTTGGCATGCCCAGAGACGGATATATTCTAGTTTTAGCCCTAAAAACCATCGTTGAAGGCGCCTAGGGTATGATTGCAGCTTGTGCTGGAGGGATCGACTATGATGTGGAGTATGCAACTGAACCTCCAGTCGCAATCAACACCCATCTGTACTATGTTCATGGTGGCATGACTGTTCTCAAAATAAAAGTGATAGTAGATATGCAGGTCACTTCATTTTCCTACGGAGCATCTCATTCCACCAAGAATATATATGTACAGCGTTACCCCCGAGCCCGCCAGAAGCCTTAGGCGCTGCATATTTCGAGATATTCAGAAGGCTGCATGTAGTAATATAAGATATGGAACGATATAGGAATCAGCTATTTCTTAGATGCTTAGTGCTTTCTCACTTCTATTATCGAAATTCGATAATGCAATTCGAGTTACTCACTGTAGTGCACCAAGCCTCAGACAGCCCTGAAGATCCGGATTCCAAGGCTATAACGTCTATAGAGGGCCCAGTTGACCCAGTTGACCCAGTTGGTTTAGTTGGCTCATCGCTTATGGAAAACGCGCTTGATGTAAGTATTTCTACCATGTACTTAATGTCCAGGGTGGAGACTAATTGGGTATTTTCAGGTAGGAGAAACAACAGGGACGCGGCGCTCTGAGCGTCAGACTGTGTTCCGACAAGTTAGTCCGTCACAGCCTGCTGGGAAGCTATATGAAATAAGGTCGGGAATGATATCGGGACTCGTAGGAACCGATGAAATTGGGGAACATTCATCGGGCCACCTTGTTCTTGGAGTGGCACCCGAGCCCCTAGAAACAGAGCTCCGACTTCTCTCCGTTCTGACACCATGTTATTGCAAACAAATGGTATTATGATCGCCGAAGCGGAGGGCCGATAGTTCCATGATAAGAGCTACTATATTCAAAGGCTTTCGGCAAGACCCTATATTCAGGTTCTTCTTTATTCACGAGATAATCTCTTAGAGTATAGGGATCTATCACTACCATAGGAGAGTCCCTAGAAATATTGGCAATTTGAAGCTTTCTTACCTTCCTCTGGTTCGGACACAGACCATCGCTGGAAGCTAAATAAAGCAGGAACATTGGAGTCCATTGTTTGTCTCGTTGGGAGCGTTGGTGGGCACTTCTCTGGAATTAACCTAATTGTCAACTGGAACCCTGCCGCGCGCCTTTGGTCACCGAATTCCACTTTTCACTCGGTACTTACAACGATTTTGCGAAGGACAGATTGGGACTTACTTTCTAAGACAGAACACCTTGGATTAAGCGAGTCTTATGCCGAATGGCTCAGCTTTACATCTGCACCTGGTCGTCATATCGATGCCACAGTCCGTTTTACAGCCCTCAATACGGCTGAATAGTTAGTTCGCGCTATTGCTGAGGGTGGATTAAAAGAACCCGACACTCGCTAGGTTTTGACGTTCTAGAAATATACCACCAGCCATGTTCAGAGATTCCTGGGTGTCTACATGCCCCATCTCGCGGACGTGAAAGATGACTCTCATAATAAATCAAAGGCGAACCCGACAACGGGTTAGCTGGAAGTCTAGCTTATAACATTATCAACCTTAACGGAACACTCACGGAGTTGAAAATCATACCATAGCGGACTTGACTACAAGAGTTTTAGAGGAAGTCGTAGACTATGTGCTACCTAGGGATAAAGAAGACAACACCGCCATTCTCCTATGTTACAGCTGTGCCCGGCATGCCGCTGTCGAACATTCCGTTGTTGCTATGCTATTTAGTAGCGTCATCGCAGAAACAGGCACGGCAGTAAACGTGCTACTAAACCACACTGCTATAGCAGCATCTGTATGCTACGATGGTTACAAAACCCACTGAAAAAGACGCAATGTGCTAATATGAACATGGCGAAAATGGTGCGCACGCCAGGATAAGGGGCCGACTCGCCCGCTCATTCGTACGAGGGCTTTTCCTCATCACCTTACTTTTCTAACTTCCCCGAAGGGATTGGTTTCTTAGTTGTGGCCTTTGATTTAACCTTACCTATAGTCCCTCGGTGATCGAGGTCGGTATTCGAGGCCTGGTCGTCGATGGCCGGCTTCGTAAAGCGTACCGCCAAGGCCTCAGGTACAGGTGTATACTCCGCCCAAAATATGCGTTCAAATCAAATACTCTACCTCACAATGCCTGTAGAGTGAAGAGATTCTCCATTTAACAATCTTACCTTCCAAAGTATGCATAACTCGTTAGGTTGTCGACCACAGCTTCAGCCTTTGACTTATGGAGGATTAATTAATCCTTGATTCGATTCTGTAATGATCTTATCGCCTAACCCCAAAAGAGTCAGTCTGCGAAGGCCAAAGGTGACAGATGATTCAGATAAGGGAATATGCAGATAGAAGTTTAGCCGACACGTACTTATACGACTGCAGGTCCTCCAAGACGACTGTGGAGAGCAATTTTAATGTCTTAGGAATTGTAGACCAATCTTGTCGTTGTGGCGCACTAGCTGCAAGGCTCCTTTTTTTTTTTTTTTTTTTTTTTTTTTTTGGAAGACGTTCAGCGTTACTTACGTATTGAGTGATAAAAAGGTTTGTGGGATGAGTTGTGAGAGCTTGGCTGAACTGTCATCATGATCCAAAGAGATGACTCATGAGAGTGCCATTTTTCGTAAAATATGCTTGCTTAACCATGGCCTGTATCTGAAGTCTCAAGACCTGAGGTGTGGGTTTAGCGGATGATGCTTGCTTGGGGTTTGCTTGTTCTCAGTCTTGTATCTAAGAGCCTCTCGAGCTGCCAGGACTGAATGACTCATATTAAGCCGGCAGCAGAGGAACCCAGTAAGGTTTGGTTGAACATTTCTCTTCCTTGTTGCCCTTTATGCTGCAGTGAGACTTGGAGGAAGCAATGGGGCAAATTTGCAACCATAAAGGCGTAAGCATAGCAACAAAATGCAAGGGCAACACTATATTCCTGCCGAGTAACATACCGAGTCCCATAATATTACTGCGATTGTCTTTACCTAACGGTTTTGCGGCTGTGTCAGAAGTGATTGGATATAAATTGCACGAGGCAGCATTTTATCTAAATCGGCATGGAGAGGCAGTGAATGCTATAAGAGATGTGGCTACGGCATGATTATCTATCTATTTATTTATATTCATAGTACGATACTCAAGCATTCTGACATTATAGGGTGAGGGTAGTGGTTGTAAACATTTCCTGGTTGCTAGACTATAGGCGATCTTGGTTTGAAATCGTAAGCTCTGGCAGCGCTCAATAGTGCTTTAGGCGGTACAGAGTATACAGTGGCAATATCTATGGCCTTTGGCTAAGTGACAGCTGGCACACGCTGTCGGAGAAGGCGCAAAACAGGTAAGCTCTATAGATAAAATTTAGAGATTTTTTTGTCACATGCCCGGTTAGCTCAATCGGTAGAGGTTAGTTCACTAATTCCATCTGAATAATGGATCTTAACTAATCCAAAATAGCGTGAGACTCTTAATCTCAAGGTTGCGGGTTCGACCCCCGCATCGGGCTCAATTCCCGATGCATCTGTCCCAGACAGATAATCGAACAAAATTTTTTTATCTGAATTTACTAGTGCGCGGCATAATCTTTGAATTCCTCCTTATTTTGGTTCGCTCTCTGATTAATTTCTCAATATTTTAAGATTTTCTAGGAGCTACTGCCTTTTTCCTTATTCAATTAACATAGATGCCACTGTAACTCGCAATGGGAGAACGTGCCAAAGTCCTTCGTACCTACCTTACACGTAGAGAAGTATGCAGCAGATTTTTGGGCTGCAGAGCGGTCAGGTCTACCAGGGTTATCCCGATATAATTTAAAGTTCAACCTGGTCAGATAAATATGTACCAGCGCAAGTACAGAGACCTTGCGCAGACACCCATTGCAAGTGCCTTTCTTTTTCATTTTCTCTGCCATTTAAATGCATCATGTGTCTGAATTGTATCGGCACGGTGATACGCGATACAACAGTTTCCAATTCAGATCCCATCGCACCTTCATAATCAACACGGGAGATACGTCGAGATATTGAAGAAGCATGCAATGCCTATCGAATCTCATCAAAAGCCTCTCCTTTTGTACCCCTCCACGACTTGATCGGGAGCAGGCAGATGACCCCATTGATATGTTGCTTCAACGTGAGATCAAGACTTTCGATGAACTGGAGAATGTTTGGCATGATTCAGTTTTCATCGCCTTCGACTGCGAATTTCTGCTATTCCAAGAGACAGATACACCAACGGCATCAGAAATCGGCCTCGCCTGCATACACCAAATCACCACCGCAGAAACATCAAAGACACCATCGAACCATGTCGATTTGAAGCAACTGTTTACGGATTTAAGAATGAAGGCGACTTCGATCAAATTATCCCCCCGGTACGAGCACCGAATGAAGCAGATTGATGACACACCATCTGAGCGCAGATGGGCGCGAGAAGAATTTAGGTTTGGAACCGAGCGCTATGCGCGCGTCGAAGATGTCGAGGAAACTCTTTGTCAGACTATTCATGCATATTCGACAATTGATTTGCACACGACGAATATCGTGCTGGTCGGGTATCACATGGTCCACGATCTTGATGCCATGCGTAAGGACTTTCCAGCCGTCGCGAATTTATTTACAACGTGCATCGACCTACGCACCATTTTTCGATCCATGTATCCAGGAGATCATGTGAATGAGCTGGGCATAAGGAAGACTTTAGAGCTCTATGGATATGGCGCTGGCGATTACGGGAGTCGAAGCTGCTACCATAATCCCGGGAACGACGCTGTGAAGACCTTGGCCCTTCTTTATGGACTCAAGGATGCAGAAAATATCCAGAGCCTGATATCAGAGCAAGGACGTGTCAAAACTGAACAGACGGAGATAGTAGAGAGGCGCAAACCACCATGTCATCATCAATACGTTGTAATTATCGAGCCAGTAGACCCCTTGGCGTCCCTGCCAAGCACTTTGCGATCAGCAAATAAGCTAGCTGAGCTCTTTAAGCCTTATGGTCCAAGGAGAGTTGGGTCTTATAAGAAGCCTTTGAGGGTCGCTGGAAAGCCAGTTAGTAGGTATTTTGGTTGGGCCCTGTTCAAGACCGAAGAAGCTTGCACAAAATGTGCGGCAGACCATAATAATACCATGACAGAGGGTACGTTATTGTATGTGGGCAAACCGCGGGCGGGTGGTGATTTTCGCAAAGAGCTCGCTGAAAATCAGGAGAAGGTCCTCGGGTTGGAAGGGAAGGTAAATACTATGGAGAATGATCTATTGTTGCGCGATCTTTTCGAAGAAGATGAGACTATCGGGAGATAGAGCTACAAGACCTAATATGGGTGTGAAAAATACAAGATTGTTGGAACCATTGGCAGTTGGTTACAACATCAGCCTCGTACAACCCCTGTCATGAAGCTATCATCACGTGTGTACATAATTTCCCTTATCTTCTAGCTCGCACGCCAAGCAGAGTCCTCCCTAAGGGAGAACTCTGCTGCGTACGATACTCTTCTTCTTTTCCTTTAGATAGATATACGCAATAGACATAGTACAATAGACCTGTATTCTGTCACGCGTATGAGACGTACGATATCGTACAAAGCCCATTCAACAAGATGGTACTGTCTGCTACGATGTCCCTGACGAGGCTGCGGAGCCTTTGTCAACTAGTCCGGCATAGACGCTGTACGTCGATAAAGATTGATGGTATTTGAATCATTCGGACCAAATAGTGATCATTTACTTAAAAAGGCCTATAAATTCTAGTGCTTGTCCCAGTGGGAGACCCTTGCCGATCGTCAAGTGAGTTGTGGTAGAAAGCCAAAGTCGATAAATACCTTGCACTGACCGGCCATAGTGCCTGCTCGCGAAGTGGTTCCTTATGCGAAATGATTCGAGTTATCAAGAGCGTGAATATCCAATCTAAGTCGTACCCGTATCAGTCGCCTGCATTATTCCACATGCGATTCAAGCCACAACTACAGCCTGCGATACGTAGCTCAGGATCACTTCTACAGATCACATAGTATAGCTACTTTATATAGCCAAATGTAAATCTTTACTCGGCTTATCTGATACACACGTTTATTACGCACGGGTGTGACCAGAGTATCAAAGTAAGCTGAAGGTATTTACTCCAAGCACAAAAGAGCAGAGCGACGAAAAACAATGAGAGTAGATAGAACAGAACAAAGTAATGTAGAAGAAAGAAAAAAAAAGATAACATACGATGCAGGAGGGAGTCGAACCCCCCGACTCGAAGGAACCCAACCCGTTGCAACTGCAGGCTCAGGGTTGGAGGCTTACGCCGCAGCACTCGCTGCATCTCTTAGCATCTATCCTTCCGGTTGAGTTAAAAGTTTTCACTTATTTTTCGTTATATGCTTGTCAAGTAGGCTGTGATTGAGCCGAAGTATTATCGGAGGGAAGGCAGCGGGCTTTGGGTGGCGTTGATCTTGAGTTGCCCCTTCTTCAGGAAGTAAAACGAAGCGGAGTACATCCCATACACAAAGATTTCCTTAGAGCGCCATAGGTCGAGGAGTGCTGAACGAAATCCCAAGGGCGAATATACGGTTTGCGCTGCCTGGGGCATACCTGCTATCAGTATATAGATCGTACATAACCATTTACATATATCGCCAATCTGACATCCATCGATTTATTGATTGTTAACAGAGCACGCGAAAAAAGACGCTCCTGAACGTCATGGGGGAACTTGTTTAATGGCTAATGTCGTAATATTGGGTCTATGGATTATGGAAGCTGGTAATCCATATTGTCGACAGTGTTGTGCAATATCAGACATAAGCTAGTTGGCAGCCGTATAGTTCGATTTATCCTCGAGTTTGCTACCCGAAGACGAGAAGACGAAAAAGTATAATGTATCTTGCTAAAAAAAAAAAAAAAATATGCTAAGGTGCTGTCTATCCTCTACATTAGGGTATATTGAATCCAAAACTTGCTCTAATGTCATGTCACAAAGGTTGTTGTTCCGTAGAACTACTAGTTTGGTTGATATTTCACGTTAGTAGCGATCCCGAATGAGGCTCAACAGCGCTACTGAATAAGGATGACGGGAGAAATAGAAATAATATCACCTTATCGCTTTTGGGGCGACACCTGCAATGACAGGCATACTAGAATAGATATCGGCGTGCAAGCTACAACTTCATTTTGGTTGGTGATATCACTAAATATGCCACTATAGAGACTGGTCTATTTGACGATCAATTGATTATTATAATAACTATACCATGCCGCAATCCTGACAACTGCCCTGTGGCGAACCATGCCTTCCTGCCAGAAAGCTTCGATCTTATGACAGCGACTCGTAATAACGAAAAGTAGAGCACCTTATCTCATAATCCATTCACAAAGTGATTATCCCAAACCCTCCACCACGCCGACCAGCCAGTACGTCCTGTTGCTTGGAAACGATACATGAAAGCCCGCCGGCTGGATCTCGATAGGTACGGTAGACTCCGGGGTCCAATATATACAACGAATTAGCGATAGTCCTTTAAGTAAGCTTGAGAAGCGTGAGATAATAATTATAAGAGATTCGTTTTAGGTGCGGAGGCGCTGTCGCTACACCACTTCTAGCATGAAGCATAACCGAAAACAAGCGCATACGAACACTCTAGAACTGTGACACAAAGGAGCCCGTAAATTCTTTTGAAATAAAGATTCAAGACCATACTTTTTGCAGCAGGCAGGGAGCCTTGCGCAAATACGACTTATGGTATAGTCGCCGATGTTATGAAAAATGGCCCTGGTAATTAGCGGCACCAGTTTTCACACCAGTATTTCGGAATTATTGCGCAGAGGGTGACGATGCCAGGAGTTGACGGCTGGGGGGTTACTGCTGGCAGACCGCTGACACTTGAGCAATTCATGCAAGGTGAGACATGACACAAGGCGGATCCAACGGTGGATGCCTCTAATAAGAAGGGCTAATTCACGGTTTTACGAGGCAATTCTAGGGTGAGAGGCGATTGTTGACAGAGAAGCTTCCCCGATTGGCCCTGTGGACTCTCATCTACACCCAATTACAGCGAGAAAACCACCAAGCACAAGTGGTCACAAGCACCAATCAACCCGTACCCAGGTCTACCCCTCCAAATCTCCCCCCGCCAAAGCCACCGCCCGACCCTCCAGGACGTAAACCGAGGAAGAACAATGTCCGGCGCTGACGCCCCCGAGATCCTCGCCGCCTACGACGCCGTGCGCTCCGACAAAGATGAGAGGAACTGGCTGCTGATCTCGTACGCAAGCGCCGTCGGCGACAAGCTGACGCTCAGCGCGACGGGGACCGGGGGGCTCGCGGAGCTGGCGTCGCGGCTGGACGACGGGCAGGCGCAGTACGGGTACGTGCGCGTCGAGTACGCGAACGACACGGAGAGCAAGCGCGTCAAGTTCGCGCTCGTCATCTGGATCGGCGAGAACACCAAGGTCATGCGCAAAGCCCGCGTCAGCATCGAGAGCGGCGCCGTCAAGAAGGTCCTCGGGCACCATAGCATCCAGG